AAGATGCTAAAAACATTAAATGCATCATTGACTGATTCATGACCTGTGAGTTTGAAGATTGATATAAAGTGATTATTTAGAGAAATAGGGTCACCCGTTAGTTAAACAGGTGCAGGTTTTTTTCTCATTTGATTTTATATGTTAATATACTTTGCAAATGACATTTTTACTGACACAGAACTTCTGTTGAGGTAAAGAACTAATCCAAATAATACGTTTAATTTGCTTTGAACTTGTAGTATGTTTAGGGTAGCACTGGGTGAACAGGTATACTGTTAACTATTCCAGTGCTACATACATTGTCCTGAAGGCTCTGGCACCCTGTCATCATGAAGGTGAGATTTTTTTTTTAGGAAAGGGCAATTTCAAGCAATTTGGTTGGTACTGGGAAAATGGGAAGATGCATTGGGACTACACTATCTGTGGCAATTCAGGTTTTGTGTGATTGCAGGCATAAATTCTGTACAGTGTGGAGAAAGGTCTGGGAATTAAACTCGCAATATTTTGAATGATACTGGGAAGACCTTGGATATTCATTTTCTGTATTTTAAGCATTTCTGTAGCTAAGATGATCTAACAGTATGATCCTGAATTTAGTTTCTAAAACGTCAGTAAATTATAGAAAATATTGGCATCATATTCCATAGGTTAATCTGACATTCAATACAGATATGGTTTTAGTGTTGCTGTTTAAAATTCTTTGCTGATGAGTTTGGGAAACAAGTTCAGATGTAATCATTTCTAGAGAGAGAAATTGAGAAGTACTATTTTTAATAACCTTTTACAATGATAGGGTGAAAAGAAGGAAATTATTTTTCTTGACAGATTCTGATAGGAGAAAGAGAAGCTTAGTGTGGGGTGTTTTTTTAATCACCATGAAAAATTCCTTCCTGTTAATCTGATGGATGGATTATAGTTTGTCCTTGCATGGCCAGGTTGTATTTTCCATCAGAACTGGAGATTCCAGCCCTCATTATATCTTTTCTGTAATGCAAATGGTTATGTATAGAAAGAGATTTAATTAATCCCCTGCTGGTTGGTAGTATACCCTAAAGCAAACATAGTCAGCAAAGGAAAAATATTAAAACATGAGTGCATGGTACCAGGTCAATGAGTGTCAGTGAAATTTCATCATCTGTGAAATAGTAACTTATTAACTGAAATGTATTTACTGTTAAAGCTGTAAAAATATTTGTCTGTTGTCCCAACTGGTATGATGGTAAGCTACCTTGCAAGAAAGCCAAGGTCAAAGGCAATCTCAGGAATCATGCTGTCCGCTCTGGCAAAAATATGGAACATCCTGTGTAGCGATGGTTCTCACTTCAATTTGAAAGGACTACGTTTAAGCTGCCATCAGTGCAGACTCTAGCATCCAACTTTGCCTGTGGGTCTGTGCCATATGTGCAGCTACATATTCAAGGACAAATTACAAGACTGAGAGGAAAGTGACAATCTTGAGTGATGGGCTCCTGTTTCCTTCAGACTTTTATAACGTAACATATCTGTTGAAAAGATAGGAGTTGTAGGTCAAGAAACAAAGAGATTTTTCAGACTTGATTTCTATTTCATATTGTGTGCATATATGTATGCAAAAAGCCAGCACTCTTTCTGCTGGCTGAAACATTCCTGTTCTAGGATGCAGTTTGCGTATACAAAAGACCACAATAGAATACATTTTCAGGATCTATGCACTAAGCAATATTATGTAAACAGAAGAATGATGCTTAAAATGTCCAATACATTTTCTCTTCTAGTTTTTTGCTGCCTCAAAAATGATAGGTCCGGTGGGGACCCAGTCCTATTGTGAAACCTGAACCTGTAGTATGTCACTGTGTCCAGCTGATTTTATATCTGCAGGATCTGAGATGATAAACCTAAGAAAAAAGGAAATAAATATAAGGAACTCTTTTGAAGAAGGGTATTTGAATCAGCTTTTTATGAATTCCATGATGCTGAATTTCCTTCCCAAGGTTCATTTTGAACTAGTTGTCTGAAAATCTGCTGTTTCTTTTGTCATGTAGAGATCAAGTTGAATGTTTAATAATTATGCCTTTCAATATGGAACTGATACAAACAAAAAATTATCTTGCAGAACAGTCTGTTCCTGTGTTTGGGTACTGCAAGATTTAATACATTCCTTATTTTTTAGGATCTGTGAAAGTAGTTATTTGTTTCCACTTCTGAAAGTTCTGTGTCAATAATGTGCAACAATCTTTTAAAAATATTCTTATGCTATTTATCACTTCGTATAAATCAAATATAAATGTAAGCCTCTATTTTGAGGGTTGTATTATTGACCTAGAGAGCAGGTGGGATGGAGGCTGGTTGAAGTAATAATGGTAATATATATAGGTACTGGCAGCACAAGTGCTCAGGGAGGCAGATGTGCTGTCAAAAGAGGCACTTTGAAATCTTGAATGTTCATGTGTTATTCTTATCAGAAGAGTGGTCTTAAATGAAAAATGTCCTTTAGGATCAACTAACATATTTATTTAAAGGATTACAGCTGCAACCTCTAAATAGTGTTTCAGACCAAGTAGTCACAGCTCATCACTCTTTTATTAGTTATCTTACCTCTTAAAACATGATTTATTTTTTCAGGATACATGGACATGTAATGCCAAACTCCTTTATGGAGTGGGTGGAAACCAGTCAAATCGCAGCACCTCCCTCATCATTTCCTATCTAAAACATTTAATCTGTACTAGAAGACTGACTCTGAGTAGAATTTCACATTTATAAGGTATTTTTGAAATGCTGTTGGACTTTTATGTTTTGCTTAATTATTTAATTAGTATTTTTGTAGTGCAACTTTATATGTTTGAAACTACTCTATGCTTTTTAGATGTAAACTCTGAATTGGTCCCACTGCACACATTAAAGTGTTAAGTGATCATAGGACCCAGCTGAGTCTTCAGCCAGTGAGTGTATCCTCATCTCTGGTAGGCATTTTCATTGCTCTATCCCCTGGAGGTCTGCAAGCTTCTCCTGACAGTGGATATCCTTAAATAGGTGCCCTGAAACAGGTCATCAGTTCTGTCTGCAGTCTGCTCCCTCCTTGCTTCCATCTCCAGGCATTTTTTTGTTCTTCTTCCTGGGATGTAACAGTTTTAGACATTAACTTACTAGTGATTCAGGAAAAACAAAGATCGTAATTATGCTCACAGTTGCTTAACGTCCAGCCCTTATGCTTTTGCATTGGCCCCACTATTCATGGTCTGGTTTGGGGGTTTATAAGAAGTGCTGTTACCAGCCCTGCTCTGGAGAAGCAGAAAAGGGCGAATAGCCGGGAGGGTGCAGGCTTGGTGTTTCTCCAGAGGGCAGGAAGAGTGCTGCTGTGTATGGCTGACAGGGTTTTTGAAGGGGATTTTAAGGCTAATGTGAAATGAGGCATAGTGGAACAACAGGTGTAAAAATTGATTGCTTTGATTGTGCTCTTTGTTGTCAAGACCACAGAGGTATTAAATTTGAACTACTGCCTATTGATTCCACAGCTGCACTGTGTTTGTCAAGGTGGAGGTGCAGAATGAAACCAATTGCTACATAGATAGAATAATATTTCAGTTGCATTGAGATGACATCTGCTTGTACTTTTTTCCTTCCTTATTTTGGAAACTCAGTTGATCACAGATTTCAAACAGTGGTTTCAGGATCAAAGCTCAACTCAGGTCTCCTTTTAACCTTGCATGCACATTTATTCCTGAATTAGCTACATTATAGGAAGTATTAAAGGTAATGTGTGAGTAAAACAAGTGTACAGGAGAGAAAAGGAAAAGATTTGTCCGCTTCTGTTACTGGACTAGGGTTCCTGTGTTGTGTGTCTGTAGCAGTTACCAGAGCTGTTCTGCTGCAAGGAAGCGTTCTCTATTTAAGTGACTTTTCAGTCCTAATGCCTAGAGCAAAGCTTGTAAACATGAACCCTAAAAGCTCAAAAATTACAAGGTAGGTAGAGATGTAAAGGTCACTGTTTTTTGGGGTTGTTTTTAGCCAGTACCATGAAATTCCAGAGCTTTACTCATACAGTCTGAACATTTCTGGGGCTGACTGTTGGAATAAATGGAAATGTGCTGTTTGAATAGGAAAAGTACCCTCTGCTAAGCACCTTTTTTTATCAGATCTTCTTTAAAGAGGATAAATTAAATACATTGCTCATATGATGTAAGATATACATGCATATATATATATATATATATATATGCATGTATAAGTAGTGTAGTGTATACACAACCAGAATAATATACAATATATAACCATCTTACCTATTTATCCATTTGCAATGGTTAAAAGCAGTTGTTGCTACATAGACTTCACAGTTCGAAACTTCAATTCTTTCCAACAAACGAGAATGGAAGAAGTACCTTTTCAGAATATAAAACACACAACCTGTTATAGATGCTAATGATTTATTATCTTACAAACTTGAAATGTTTTGATTAGATCTTGACAAGTTTGTCTGATGACAGGAATTTATTCCTTGATGCTGTAAGCTGTCAGCCTTGTGATAATTCACACATGAAATTTTTTTCAGTACTGTTAAAACTGTAATGAAATTTCTAATTGTAGTGAACTCACACTTGAAAATAACAGCATAATTAAGATTTAATTTTTTTGTTGTTGTTGTAGTAGCTCTAACTTTTTGGTATCTTTGAAAAACTTTGCTGAGCGATATCCAGCGTATTACTTAACAGAGCAGTCACTGACAGTTTGTCAGCAGTATCGTTAATCATATCGTTCCATGTACGCCACAACCAAGTGTGGAAAAGAGGTCACTAGATTTTTGTGGATAATTTTTTTTTTCCTGTTGACTTTTTTTCAATATTCAGAGAAAGCTGTTGGGTTATTTTTCCTTGGTGGGGATGAACCCCCCCGCAGTAGATGAGTATTGTGCCCGTCAGAAGCTGCCCTTGGCTATACGGTCCTTGCCGTTCTACCGGGGAAGCTGCAGGGGAGCGGCCCGGCATAGCGGGAGGCTCCAGGGGCTCGGCCGCGCCCCGACCCAGAAAGAGCTCAGTCTCCCCAGAAGAGGAAGTTTGTAAGTATAATTATTCTTTATTCATCACTTGGTTTGTTTTGAACATATATCACTGTTCAATTGTGGAAATTGCTTAAATGGGCAGATACACTGTTTTCTCTGTTAGCATTTTCAAGAATCTGTCATCCACTTGGAAACAGCTAGCTTGCATTTCTCTGAGACTGAAGCCTCTCTTCATTTTCTTAAGTGTAGCAGGAAAAGTAGTAGTAGTGTAAGCTTACTTCTAATTATCAGCTTGAGCTGATCGTGATACGGAAGTAGCTGTGGTGTTGAGTGTTGCTTGCACTGACATCACTGAAGTGACTCCACAGAAGTCACTGATTATTTATGTGATATGCACAACTTTGATCACTGCTCTTCAAACAGTCTGTTGACAGAAGTCTAAGTACACAGTTCCTGGGCC